ATAATCCCACAACTTTCCATATTGTTCTTCAATACTACCTTGAATTCTAGCTTTTGCAAAACTCTTGGCTTTATAAACTTGAGCCTCAGTTACATCTATGGCATAATGTTTCCTTATTATCTTCATGAAATCTGTCACTTTCATCTTGGGATTATCTCTTAACTCCTCATCAAACCTCTTAGACAGCCATGATGAAGTGGCATACTTGGTTCTTTGCCTCCTTCCACATGTATGCCTTGGAATATATGTCTTAATCCTTGTAGTTGGACTTTTCCCCACATGAGAAGCATATAGCATCCATGGACATGGAACCTTTTGTTTATTATCTCCTTCACATTTTAGCCTCACCCTATATGAATCATTCCTCACCCACTTCAATGGCCTTGCACATGAAACTGCATAATACCTTATTGCTTCCCTACACTGCTCCATGTTGGTAAATTCCATTCCCAAATGAAATGTTGGCTTCAGCAAATCAGATTCTCTCCTAAACTGCTTAAACCTAGGAGCTTTTCTTCTGCGGCTACGGTTTTTCACACCTTCATCCTCATCATCTTCTTCATCAAGACTTACAAGTTCGTCGGTATTGTAGTCTTCACTGTCAACCTCACCAGGTTCTTCATTGTATTCTTCATTTTCTTCATCAACTACATGTTTATCAAACAAGTTGTCATCCTCTTCCAAGACTGTCTTGAACCCTTCTTCATCTGACTGCTCAAACTCAGAGTCAATCAACTCAATGTCTGTCTCACTATCATCATCTTCAGCCTCTTCCCCACTATCATCATCTTCAGCCTCATCATCTTCAAATTCATCTGCCTCATTATCTCCTTCATTATCTGCCTCATCATCACCATCATCATCTAAATCAACATCCACTTCTACAAACTGGTTCCCCAAATCACCAACATCAGTTTCAGTTTCAACTTCTACTTCCAACCCCAACTGTGGAGCAGATGCAGATGCAGATGCCTGGCTCTCTGACAAATGTGGTTGATGCTTATATGACAAATATAAAGGTTGAACTCTAGAGGTAGGTGTATGCTCCACAAACTCAACTACATGGGCATCTACTTCAATTGGAACAAATCCCCTTCTTTTGTTCCAGTAGTGGTACTGAATTTTTTTATGGTCGTATCCTAAACATATAGCAACATCATACAGGTCAAGCATTGACAGGTGGTCAGCATTACAGTTGTCTGCCCATGTTACCTTATCCCGAACATACTTCCCCTTTGAAATATAACCTCCATGGTGAATTTCTAGGGAGAACAAATCTGGATCACCTATAAAAAAAAATAAAAATTATATATAAAAGCACTACTTTATCACAACAACTTATCCTTATTGCTCAACTACCATTCTAAACTTGAAATTGACTCAGATCCACCGACTATTATGCAGACAAAACAACACAAATGCTTTGGGACCACATGTATTTCATATTCAAAAAGGCATATCACCCAACACCACAAAATGTCAAAAGCACCGACAGACCAAGGACCAAAGGACCAAAGGACCACACAAGCTTAAACAATTTCAACTTGGGAAAAGCGTTTACTTACTGTATTTGGGAGGAGGCCCTCTGTTCCGTACCTGCAGAGGCAACACATCCAGAGTCATGTTGCGTTAAATCAACGGACCCAAAAGAAGCTTTATGAAAAAGCTTTCAGATTCCCTCAATTTCGTCCCTCTCCAACCTTCGATTTTGCCCCCTTTCGCACCCTCAGTTCAGTCCCTTTCGAACCCTACCAAAGTGAAAGCGATGTGTGAAGTGTGTGAGAGAGGTTGGTAATTGAATCCGCGCTGAATGACGAAAATAACCCTAACAAAAGAGTCAACGTGAGTCAAATGGACGGAATAATGGATGAAATGTTCGAATTTTGACGATGGGGGGAACATTGATAATAAATTTTAATTTGAGCCCTTAATTCGCTAAAAAAAAAGGTCAGGTGGTAAATTGAGAGTTATGTACAAGTTCAGGGGGCAATTCAGCAGATTACCCTTCTAAATATCTTTGTCAATAACAAAATTGTCCAATATTCTTTTAACGGATCTATTGTCTTTTTGTTTTGGTCGAGCGTAAAATATATATATAGTCCCTTTTTATTGAAGGATCCCTCAAATTTATTTGAGGAACTCCCTTTAGGGTACCCTATAATTTTTTTTTCAACCATTCAAACTATCTATTTTTTAGGTCTCCATCAAAGATCATCCTTGCAAAAAAACTAGACAAATCGGAAACCGTTTAAACATCTAATTGTGTCTTGCAAAATCAATGAACACGATGCTTCAAAAAAGTACTAAAATTTTAATAATTTATTTGAGTGGTCAAATGATATCGGATTCAAGTGATTTTTTATAGAGATGATCTTTAAATGAATATCTACACAATAGACGGTTTGGATTAGTAAAATACAATACGGAGTAGACCCTACAAAGGTGTCTCTCAAATAAGCTTATTTGAGGGATCCCTCAATGGAAGCTCTCTGTATATATATATATATATATATATACATATATATATTCTTGTCAAAATCACCTAATTAAATTAGAAGTTTACTTATGAAGAGACTTTGTTGATGTGAAATTGAAAGTGATCTTTCCATGTTGTTGGTGACGACGGAGATGAGGGTGAGTCATAAAAGAAGGCTTTCAGGTGCTTCACAAACTCCTTGGGCTTTTCCAGGTTCACAGCATGTCCTGCGTTCTTGATAATCACCAGTTGAGCACTTTTCCCTACATGCCTAAGACAAAAAAAAAAAAAAAAGGAGTTTCACTAAAACACCCAAAATGGGGGCTGAAATTAAAAAAAACCCAAACACCCAAAACTGTTGATTTTGGAGTTGATTTTGGGTGTGTTTCTATGTTTAAATAGTGTTTGGTTTTTTTTATAAATACATGTCTAGGATTGGGTTTATTTATAAATTACTAAAAAAAAACATATCCACCAATGAAGAAATATTATCATTCAATATTATTTGTTTCAAGCTAATTAATATAAAGTCAAATTAACAATTTCTTTCTCATTTACATTTGCGTACCTCTTTAATCTGTACCCTAGCTCCACCGGAAATATCTGGTCCTGTTGTCCCCATATTATCAATGTGGGCTGTTTAAAATGGAACAGTACCGTAATAATTGTTAATTAGTAAAATTAATAGAGAGAGAGAGAGAGAGAGAGAGAGAGAGAGAGAGAGAGCCTTCTAGCGACACAAAACCCTAATGAAAACGTCACAAAGCAATAAAATTGCACTCTGAAATAGCTTCATGTGTAGGCAAGAATGGGAGAGATCATCACCTGTGTGATCTTGGGAAGATTAAACATTTTTCGCTCCGTGAGTATTGCCCGGATCAAGTCTCTCTTTTCTTCTACATAATCTGTACACATCACCTGTCAAAATACAGAAATTTCGTTATACTTACTCAAGCATTTGCAGAGAGAGAGAGAGAGAGAGAGAGAGAGAGAGGAGATTTGAAGTACATGAATGAAATCCGTGAGAAAAAAAGAGGGCACGCCCTTTGCAGGCTTGAAAAATGAATAGCGCATCAATTCCTTTAGCTTCTCTGGAGTCTGAGGCAACAAAATGCTTGCAGCCTCATCCAAGTTCGACACCCTAAACAACCCTTCCTCCATATCCTTCGCCTCCAAGCACACCCCGGCACAACACAGCGCAACCCTCTCTACCATCCCCGGACACTGTAAGGCCACGTTGTACGCCACAAACCCACCATAGCTTATCCCCACCATGCTCATCTTTCCAACCCCGTGGGCCTCCATTAACCTTATTACACATTGCGCTTGGAACGACTCTGAGCGTTCCACGCACGATGTGTAGGAGTGGCCGAAAAAGAGGAGGTCAGGCACGTACACGTTGAAGTGGGGGGTAAAGTGCCGTAGATGCTCCCCGTATTGCCACATAGCATTGGCTCCAAAGCCATGGAGGAGGAGGAGGGTCGGTTTGTAGGGTTTGTGGGATTTGGGCACCCAGCAATTCATGATGGTGCCATCATCTAGATTGGTTAAAACCGACCGAAGGCCGGCGTTGGCGAAAGAATGCCGGTAAAACCAATCTATGGAAGCCGTAAGGCTGATGAATTTAGGAAGCTTAAGAGGAAACATATATATTTGACTGATCTTGAAAATTGAAGAATTAACGTAACGAAAATAAATTAATTTCAAAATTCACGAAAAACTTGCATGCATACGTACGTAGAGGATGGGGATGACACAGATCATAATGAATCTCTGCATGCATACGTTTATATACATATGCATATAACTAACTAACTAACTAACTAACTAACTAATGCTCTAGAATGAATGCTTTTTGGTCATGAGAGAGAACTAAATTAAGTTGAAAGCCCAGAGAGGCCAAACAGATTCTTCAAAACAAACGTGAATTTGGGCTATATAGATTATTTCAAGTATATTTGCATCCATGAAAGGTAAGGAAAGGAAAAAGGAGACGTCATGACTAGAAAGTAGAAAAACTCCCAAAGTTTGTTTGGTCGAAAAATGTTAAAGCTGTGTATCCATTGGGCGTTTGTGTGTACGCAATTTTATCCGTTTGTTTTGTTCTTTCTTTGGATAATTAAAATTTAAAACTACTATTTATGTGTATGAACCATGTAATCTAGAGCTAATTGAACACTCATGAGTACTATTTCTGTGTTTTTAATTTTTAAATTTTTTACATATAGGTGCACGTAACGTGAATCCGGAAAATTGAAATTTTATTAACTTTACATAAGAATATATTAAGGAAGTCCAAAACAGTGAGACATTGAAAATCCAAGAACGTCCTAAATAAACTTAAATGGCTATAAATAAAAAAATTGTAAAAAAGCGAAAGATGGTTGACAGAGAAATAGTTACAATTATCTGCTGGGGAATAAACAAAAGAAATTTCACAAAATTACAAGATGGAAATCTCTTTCTTTTTCCTTTTATAATGTTTTGCGTGTGGAACAAATAAAGTATGGCAGCTCTCAATTTCTCAAAAAGAGAAGATATAAGCAAGCATCCATCACTTACATAGAGAGGCCTCTCAACGGTAGTCCAAAGCATGATTAATTACAAGAGAAACTAAATATGCACATAAGACTGACCAAAAACTTGTTGCAGCCGCTAAAGAAAACATCAGCCTCTTTCTCTTAATTTTCTTTGATACGAGTATTACACTGTATAATTGTTGTTTGCAGGGAATCAACTCATCAGTTTCCTTAGTCTTTTTTCAGCAAGATTGGCAACCTTATTTTGAGGTTCAAGAACAAGGGCATGCTTGAAATCTGCAAATGCCAAAGGAGACAAATTGAGAAAGAAGCTAAACCAACCACAATTGTAAGTTTGTTTCTCCTTTCTTTTTCTTTTTTTGGGTCAGCCACCGGAGTTATATGTTGCACATGTAATGCTAAGACAGGAAAACCTAAAATCTTGAACCATATCAGACATGGCATGACACAGCATGGCTAGTACAATGGAATATGAATAAGAGTTATATGTGCTAGAGAAGTGAGAGTCAGTTCATCTTGTGCTAGGTTTGTTTAATACTCTTGGGGTTATTTTTCGTTTGACGTCGTTAGGGTTTCAAATTTTTTAAGTCTAAAGCATTGTAACTTCTCTTCCTTTTTAATAGAAAAAAGATAGCATCGCTTTCACAGTTTGTTCTTCTATTGGATTTTCATCTATTCATTTCTTTCCAATATGGATTGTAAAGCAACATGAGATACTGTCTTGTTAGTAAGATTAGATGAGACATTCGAAAAGACATCACCGATACCACCACCACTTCTCAAACCTAACTCATGCTGTTCATTTCAACCACTCCTCGAACCAAGAGGGATGGGAATCCAAATGCTTCATCAACATGCAATTGTTTCTATAATCTTGATGAAGAATATAAAAGGTCAAAGGTCCAAGGTGTTCAAGTTCTGTAGCAATATATCCGATTGCTGGCCAGATTTTCAAAATCAAAACAAAAAGTTCTAAAACAATCTTTCTATGCAAAAACTAATCCTGTTCATAACTACTTATTGAAACAAAAATCAAGAGAAGTGCAGATGACTGAAGGCAACTACCCCAAAGTGTCATGAAACTCACTAGAATGGATCTAGCAATCCATGACTCAATGAATGATTGCATAAAGTAGTTTACCTTGATAATCATACAATTAAGCTCATGTGATGATAACCAGATACATGAAACATCAGTGCAGGATTTCTAAACATTGAAGCAGCACAGCACATACAAAAGAATATGAAATCAGAGTTCTAACCTTGAGCAGCATCCTTATAACAAAGAAGTGATTCTCTGGCTGTTCCACGTCTCATATATGCCTTCACATTCTGCACAAATGTCGAAAAAAGAAGAAAGGATCACAAATATTAAAAACGAAGACACCGTACGGGCTCAACAACACAATTTACATTCACTTGTTCCAACTATATAGGCAGCACAAATTTTGTATTTATCTGTTTGAACTAAAACGCAACGCTCATGAAGTAGAGATATTCAATAAATGGTCAGATCAGATAACCCAAACTATGGCTTGTATATAACACAATGGTAGGTCAGTAACTAAATCTGTAGTGTTAAGAATCAAATTTAATCACCATGCTTGAATGTGGTATTTTTCAATCATTCTATTTAACGGATGCTCCAGGAAACAGTAAGAGTTGGAGTAAAGAACCACAATCAAATCCCAGAAACAAATAAAATGATAATGATTGTTGCTCATCCAGTTTTGTACCTTACTCCACTATAGAAATACTGTTGAAAAAAAAAAGGAAGTTTCTAAATGACTTAGCAGTAAGCATCAGGAAGAGGTGTATTGAATTCCAAACTACCCTTTTACTAACTGAATTATTGATTACATTAAGCATAACATGAACAGGTTCGTAGTGCTTCGACCAACAGTTACAAAAACAATGAGTGTAAAAGATCTGCATACTACAAAATGGCTATATTACCTTTTTGTCAAGTGATATTGCCTTGCTGCAATCCTCTTCAGCTTGCTGGAAGCTGCATGATTGAAATTGATAAGTGCATAGATGGAAACGCCAACAGAAAGATAAGTTGACAGACAGGTGAGCATTCATACCACCCTAATTCCAAGTAAGCAGCTGCCCGGTTGCAATAATAAGTTGAGCTCATCATGTTTAATTTTATAGCTTCAGTATAGTACTTGACAGCCTTATTCCATTGCCTTCCCTTAAATGCAGCATTTCCCTAGAAAAAGATTCATGAGTAAACATAGAAATTAAAAGAAAATAATAATACTAATTGATACAATGGTTCTACAATTGTTTTTTTTTTTCTGGTAGAAAATGAAAATTCAACAGAACTGGCCAAAATATTCTACAAATATAGAAATCAATAGGAGCCAAAAGGGGAAAAACCGAGCACCCCCCTGAAGATTGACCCATTGTATCACTTTCATCCTTAAATCTTTTTCTTCTTTTTTTTTGGGTGCCAAATTGCCCCTTAAACTTCACTTTTGTGTGTAAAACATCCATGCCTGATCAATTCAGTCATATTTTCCATCAAAAGTAGTCATGTGTAAGGCACATGACCACATTTTCAAAGAAATAATCGTTCCTTTACGCCCTAACATTAATTATATATATGAACATTAAAATAACCTAATTATAAGAAAATAATAAATAAATAAATAATCTACCCTTTCCTTTCTCTCTCTCTCTCCTTCCTATCTCTTCCGTCCACTAAGAATCAGATTAAGATCATCATTCACTAGGAAAATACAGAGTATAATAGAGCTCAAGACTGGGAAAAGGAAAGCATTAGCCAACCTTATTTTATGTCAATTGCAAAAGTGATGTTGTGGAAAATAAAAGGTACCACTAACAGGAGAGGACAAAGATTGAAACCCAATTTATTAGCATATAAACGTTGCAAGTACCAGTTATGCGGAGAATGCAGTGGAAAACTGTCAGGGTAAAGATGACAAACAATATTGCAGAACACTAAGCATTGAAAACTTAGATAAGATCTTAAGTGTGGAGAAACCTTCTCTTTTAAGAGTTCTGAAGCATCCAGGTTATCATTGGTATCTGGCAATGGCGATGAATGGGATGCAATGCTGACTTTCTCCTGAATTGAAGAGTACATATCCAAGACTGTATCGAGGAGAAATTTATCAACACCATGGAACGCGATAAATGAAATAGAGATGGGACTTTCTTTGTGCTTTCCTACTGGAATTGTAACCTGGAAATGTGCAAATATAATCAGGAATAAATCAAAGCTACAGAAAGTCAAAGAGAAATATGAGGCTGAAACTTTAAAGTACTCAGTTACCTGACAGCACCCAGACATGCTGGCAATGCTTGATAATGCTAATGTTCTATCGTTGAACTCAGATGACTGTCCTTTCTTTGTATTTAGCTTTAATGGAGGATCTGCAACTGTGGGAATCACTAATATTCCATCATCCTGGGCAAGAGAAGGTAAAAAATAAAGTTATATAAAATGAGGTATTGTGCATATAAACCATCAGGTAGAAAGAAATCGAACATGAATAACAACAAAGTAAAGTCAACTCAATCTTTTTATAAAATAATTTTGTTCAATTAGCCCATATGATTAGCGACACAACACAATTTGACATGCAGAAATGCAAGAGTGTGTTGGAGCTAGAGATTGTTATTCCCCTCTTCTGGTTTCAGGATGGAGGAGGATATAAGAGAGCTCAGGTTGCTGGAGCTCAACATGCCACTAATAGCAGACAGGAAGACTACAGCTAACTAGCTAAATCATTATTTAAAACCTCTATATTGTCATCCATGATAAACCAAAGGAACAAACTTAGCTTACTTCTATATATTATAAGGCTGGAGAAATTGTCACATTACTAAAGTGTTAAACAAGGAACCAGGTTTTAACCATAGGTATCTCCAATTCTCCAACCCAGGCAATAGAGGATAGAGACTAAGAGTATCCAAGATACATTCTAAAATTACCAAAAAAAACATTTATACCTTCTCTTTATTCAGCCAGACTTAATATTTCTCATCCCTAAAACCTAGACCAATACTTTGAACAATCAACTTATCAGAGATAATTTTCCAGCTCACTCCACATACACTTCATTGAATGCCTAGGAGTTGTATTATTGACCCTCGCCCTTTGAGAAATTTTGCTTTAAATGTTCAACCCATTGCTAGGTGATGGAACATGATTTTATAAGCACCTGCCTTTCAGTTATGGCCAAAAAAGTACCTTTCAGTTATGACCAAAAAGAGTACCTTCCTTGGGCCAAAAAAAGTACCATCATTTCAGTTTAAATTTCTCATTAAACAAAAACTACTCCAACAATGATGAGCAACACCTGTAAGTCGAACATATTTACAGAAAATGAAAA